CCTCGAGTGAGGATAAAAAAATATATATATAAAACGGATGTTTACCATTTTAGTGACTTGGTTAAAACCAGTTATTTTCCAAGAGAAATGGATTCTCTTTAAAACCTTTTCATTGTCCTGAGACTGGGGCTAATCCAACATAAGCAAACCTTCTGAAGATAGGGGAGAGATGTGCTGTTCCCCACCTCAACACCAAAATGATTTGAAGACAGTTCCCTTGCAGAAGCCTTGATTAGATTCTTAGGGAGTGGGTAAAAAATAAACAACAAAGAATCAGAAAAAGAGTGTGTTGGGGTCCCCAAGACCACCCCCAGCTTTGATGATTTGTTGGAAGGATTCACAGGACTCAGCATATAGTTAGACTGACAGTTATGGTTTATCACAGCCAAAGGATACAAAGCAAAAACAGCAAAGGAAAAGGGTACATGAGATGAAGTCTGGAGAAAACCAGGTGCAAGTTTCCAAGAGTCCTTCCTCTACCAGTGGAGTCACACAGCATGTGCTTAATTCCTCCTGTATTAACACATGTGAACTAACATGTGATAACACATGTGGAATGTGTTATCTACCAGAGAAATTCATTGGAGAATCAGTGCCCAGGTTTTTCACTGGGGTTGGTCCTGCAGGCATCCTTTGAATTTCAGACTCCCAGAAGGAAAGCAGGTATTCAGCATAAACTACACTGTTTGCAGAGACAGTTCAGGTACACTGAGCTGCCCTTATCATTAGAGAATGGTGGAAACATTCCTAAAATCCAAGTTCCCAGATGCCAGCAAAGGGTCAACCTTACAAGTAGGCTTTTCTGCACAGGGATCTGCAATATGAGTATCTTGCAAATCTGCATATGCAATGTGAAAAGATTCTTACTTTTTGATCCAAAAATCTCACTTTCAGAATTTTTTATATACAAAATGTTCATCACAATATTGTTTACATTAGTAAACAAAGTAAACAAGGTAAGTGTCCAAAAATTGTGCAATGATTTAGTAAATTATAGTACAGTAGTATAAAGAAATATTAAGTAGGCATTAAAATTATATTTTATATATCATCTATATCTATCTATCTATCTATCTATCTATCTATCTATCTATCTATCTATCTATCTATCTAATAACTCCCAAAATGGGAGAAATCCAGAAGAAAATACATTAAAATATAGTAATGATTCATTTCTGGAGGATGGTTTAGATAAAATAATTTTTATTTTCCTCTTGATCTACATCTATGATCAATTTCTTTTTTTTATCCTTATCTGAGGACATTTTTTCATTTTTTGTTCAGATAGAGTGGGAGGGAGAGAGAAGAGAGAGAAACATAGATGTGAAAGGGACACATCGAGTGGCTGCCACCTGCACAATGACCCAACCAGGGCCGGGGACAAACTGCAACCGAGGTACATGCCCTTAGCAGGAACTGAACCCGGGTCTCCAGGGGCCGCAGACCGACGCTCTAACCACTGAGCCAAACCGGCCAGGGCTATGATCAATTTTTATTTGATGAACATGTATTTACTTTTCTAACTAGAAAAGATTATAATAAGATAGTTACATTAAAAAGATTTTAGATATAAAGATCTGGGTATTCAAAGCCAATTTTGCTAATGTGTTAAATATTTAGTGTGTATAGTGAGTAACATGAGTACAATGTATAAGGCAGCTTGATTAGAGAATTCTTAGAATGGCAAACGACCATTTAAAATGAGATTTTTCTATTTAATATGCTTTTTTCTTCAATTAGCTACCATAAAAAAAAAAAGTAAAGAGAGGGGAAATTTTATAAACATTAAAGAAAGCACAGTGGCCCTGGCCAGCCTGGCTCAGCGGTTAGAACATCGACCTGCGGTCCAGAGAGACCCAGGTTCGGTTCCCGCTAAGGGCATGTACCTCGGTTGCAGTTTGTCCCCGGCCCTGGTTGGATCATGTGGGTGGCAACCACTCTATGTGTCCTTTTCACGTCGATGTTTATCTCTCTCTCTTCCTCTCTCTCCCTCCCACTCTATCTAAACAAAAAATGGAAAAAAATGTCCTCGGGTGAGGATAAAAAAAAAAAGAAAGCCCAATGACTAATTTTTATTGTGAGGAACAAACGGTTTACAAATTAGCAAGTGTAAAAATAAAAATGCTATTTTTCAATGGCTAGAACAAAGAATAAATTTCCTAAATTTCTTTCAATGTTTACATGATCACAATTTACAATCTGTTAAGTATTACTAAAATAAGTCACATACATTTTCATAGTTTTAAGGAGGGTTAGATAATTACTCTACAAACCTCGTCTGCAGAAGGTGATTTCAAACTTATCCAGGTCCAATTCCCCTCCATGTGCTTAATGCATCTACCCTCATTACACAGACACCGCTCCACAGAAAGCTATTGTTGTACTGCCCAGAGAGATTCTCTAGCACTGCTGTTAAGTAGCCATATAGAAAACAGACCACTATTGTCTCCTCTCATCCCTAGACAGAAGAAGTGGTTTGCAGCTTCTTTTAAATCACAAAGCAATTCTTTTGTGTACTGAATTGGCCCACGGCTAGGGAGGTTGTGCAACTCACTTCCCGCATGACCTCCACTTGAGGAGGCTCCCAGTCCTGCCAGAACAGGAAAACCTTGAAGGCCCTCCACGTGGGCCAGTGCTTTTTTTGCCTCTGAACTGATTCGTGGGCCAAGTCAGAGAAACCAAAGTCTGAAAAGCCATTTCAATGGCAAACACACTCAGAGAGGGCGAAAAAGCCAGAATTTGTATGGTTAGGAAGAGAAATGTGGTTAACCTACATTGGACACGGGGCATGAAGGGTCATCAAAAAGCATGCCTACTGCCTCAGTTCAACTATGCATTTTTCCTCTCTATATATATATATTTAAAAAGCCCTTTAAATAGTTTGGCTATATTCAGAGATGTAACTACTTAAAAAGGTCTCTAGTGTATTAAAGGATTGTTTTGGGGGAGTGACAGGGAAAGAGGGCGGATGAACCAAGCATGGTTACAGATGCTTTTGAGTAAAACTTATTTGCTAATCAAGGTCAGCCACTTGCTAATTGGTGCTTTATGTATGACCAACAGTCTTTCAAAGATTTTGCTGCTCATCTTTTCTTCTTCCCAGGAAGAAACAGATTATATAGGACTTGAAGTAAAAATCCCGGGTTCAGTTCACAGCACTGTCAAACATGCATTAACAATTTCCAGGCGCTATGTTTTCCTGCCATTTGTCACTTCTGAATTTCGGGCTTTACCTCTATAAAGTGGGTACACCAAGAAATGTCACCCTTTCCATAGGTGATTATGTAGGAAGAAAGTATGTATAAGCAAACTCTAAAGAGCTATCCGAGCATTTACTATGATTGTTGCCATTAGGTCTTCTTGACACATAGAAAGTACTTAACAAATGTTCACAAAATTACTAATGAACTGGGATAATTATGGTAGACAAATGGTAAGAGTGGATAAGTCATGAACCTTTAAGCCAGTAACACATTTACTTAAAAAGTAATAGATATTTAACTAAGTTGAACACCTTGAAAGTATCCTGGGGAAAACAATGCCTCAGCTGCCAGAAGAGGTCACTGTACTCATCATATACGGGGGATCCTAGGTATGGCAGATGGATACTAGCAAATCAGGTTTCATTAGGGTACAGAGGCAGTAGAATGAGAGGTTAAGAGCCTCAGCTCTGGAGTTTAAATCTCAACTAACAAGTTGTGTGACCGCAGGCAAATTACTTCATCTTTTCTAAACCTCAGTTTTCACCTATGTAAAAAGGGGATAGAGTAGTATTTGCTAGTATAATTTCTGTGAAGATTAAGTGTCAAAACACAGGTGAATACTTACCACAGTGATGTCTGGTTAGCTATCTATCTTCATCATACCATATACAGGATGGCATTCTAGAAGTAGAACTAAACCAGGAGCCCTCCATTTTACAATCTGCTATTAACCTTTAGCCATGGTGAACTATGGTCCTATATCCTGCCGGTCTCCACACACCACAGTGCTGCTTGGGTGGACTCAGATATGCTTACTGGGAACTGTAGTTCCCTCAACCAAATATTAGCAGATGTCCAAGGTATAATTCTTCACATTTCACTAACCACTCTCTGAACCATCCAGAGTCCCTGGGTTATACTTTTAAATTTCTTATCCAAGTTGCTCATGCTCTATGTTTCATTTCTAGTAAAATTTATCTTCCTTTTTTCAAATGAAAATGTCAAAAGCTTAAGATGAGCATACATGCATATTTTTTCTCATTTGCAGTGAGTGAAATCTTGCTAATACAGAAGATAAAAAAGTTAGAATAATGAAACACTATGATAGGAACCCCTTATAATAGGATATACCACATTAAATGATGATGGTGGTCAATGAAGCAATTGCTTCACATTCAATATCCTACTGAAATGTATTAACTGCATTAAAAAAAATAAAATAAAACCTAACCCTTCTTGAGATGTCCTGCCAAATGAGTCAAAAACCTTAATTCTAGATCTATAAAATTTATCAAAATAACCCAACTGTGAAACCACTGAAATTCTTTTCATAGAGAATTTAATAATGCAGTAAATTCTGGATCTTGGATATAAAAGACATTCCTCCTTCATGCCCCCAACAGTCATCATCTGGAAATCACGTCTACTGCTTTGGGACACGAGAGGCCCCTTCCTCTGGGGAGAGGTTAGCCCCAGCCACCTCAGCCTGAGCTGTTCCTCCAGTCTGCCTGTCTTGTGACAGTGCTACCTGCCAGCCAGCAACGTCCCGGTGTCTACTGGGCAGCTGCAGATTGAACAGACTGTGAATCCAGCTAGAGGATAAGAGGTTGTTTTAATTGGCTAAAGCTGCCATGTACTAAGCGTATGGCCATGAATTTGTAGCCAAAACACTAATCTAAAAAAAAAATGTCATGTGCAATTAAAACAGAAAACAAAAATGACATTTTCACTCGTCAATTCCAGTTTTGCCACAAGGGTTTTTATCCTAACATTTTATAATGACTACCAAATCCTTACCTTTGCTGAAGTAGAATTTTCATGGTATACTCCTTGTACCAAGTCCCTAAGGGCACTTGCTAAAAGTTCCACAACCTAAAAAAAAGATCAAAAAGTAAAATAAACCATTTAAAAAATTTATCCACATTTTTACCTCAGAAGGCTTAGAAGCAAGGCAGTATTTGTGTTTGATAGAAAAAAATAAAAAAAGAAACACAGCCCACAGGGTTATGTGCAAAGATTCTGGCAAACAGCATTGCCCACCTGGATATTAAGTGCTGTGATCCAATTTTTCAGTCACAATTTAAGCAACAACAACAATAAAAAAAAACAGAAAGAAAGAAAAAATCGTATAAGCATAGCATTTAACTAATATACATGTAAACCCAGTAATAGCCATTTTGAACATAAACTTAGATTTCAGACAACTAATGAAATCTTAACCCAATTTATTTTCTGTATGTTTATTTCTGTCAGGTGGATACTTTTTCAATATCCCCATTCTGTGAACCATTACAATGCTAATTTTCATACTTAATACAGAAAAAAAAGCAAATGCAAAAGAATGGTCAACCTGTCAAATGTGTTCATTCTGTTGTACTTAAAATGCACTGTGGATATATTCAGTGTAGGAACCCTGGGTCAAACATACCTTATTTTTAAACCTGAAAATTTTTACAGAAACATAATATTGAAATCGTATTCATCAAACCTGTATTATTTTCAAGGCTCAGACTATTAAAAAAAAAAAAAAAAATCAAGCAAAATCAAAAGCTTTGAACTTGTTCCAGAATGTAAAACAAGCAGAAAACAGTAAATGGTCTCTTTGGAACTACTGTACAATTTAGAGTTGTTTGCATAAATCATCTTAATTCAAAAGGATAAAATAGTGCAATTTATTATAATGTTCACTGCAGCCATTTCAAACAAGAATTCCTCAAGGCAATCCTATCCTCTTCTTATGAAGTCTTAATATCGTGTATATTTAGCTTTCAATATTATGCAGTTCCATATCTGATTCTCTTTGTTTCCTAAAATTTAGCTCAGTTCTGATTGAATTAAAGGATTTTGTTTCAGCTTTTATCATTCTTGTAATTGAAGACATTATTAAGCCAAAGGATACAGACCCAAACAACAAGGTATTTCAATTTCAGGTACCCTAAATTTAATAAACATTTTCTTACAGACAAATTACATTAATTTGTAGAAAGACTTGCCTTAACATTTTAACACATGAGTATTTATCTCCAAATTTATATTTATATGTATACTGCATAACATACACAAGGCTGCTGATATGGAAATTTTGATGATTAAAGGCATGCTTTTTTTCTAGTCTGCAAATAAGTTAATTTGTAAGACCTATACAAAGTCTTTTTTTTTTTTTTAAATCGCATTGCCCTTTAGGTAACCAAATACTTAAGAAATATTGTAGCAATATGAGCTGCAGAGGAACTGGAAGGACAATGATCCTACAGTGTTACCAGATGTGTTGAGTTATTTAAGTGGGGAAGAGAGAAAAATGAATGGATTTTTTCCCCCTGAAGGTATCAGATAAGCCCTATTCCCAAATCCAGGAGGATCGCATATCACCAACAGGTCTATGAAAGACTGTAACGAAATGCGCAGCATCAGATTGAATTACAGTTTATACAAGCAACATCCCAAGATCCTCCTGATGGCTGGACACATAATACAGATCACTCACTCACTAAGAAATGTTATGGTTTTGAAACAGTTTGAGCTCTGAGACCAGCACTGGTAAAGGAAGAGGGAGTTACAAAGAGAAAGTCTGACACTAAATGTCAAAATGATGGTATGAACTTTTAACAAAGAATCTGGATCCATGTTCCTTTACTTCCCTGAAATTCCAGACCAGGCAGAAGCGAGAAAAACATTTTATTCTGACTCATCTTCTCTTAATGAAATCAGCATATACAGGCAGGCCTGTACTTACAAGTTCATAATTTGTAAATGACCTATACTTCCTATACAAATGGCCATACTTACTTGAGCAGAACACACCTTCATAGCCAATGACAATCATCAAGGAGAAAGTTTTGGAATATTGTGGGTTAACAAGTCCAGGAAGATAAGAGATTACGAAAGGCAGGAATAGCCTAGAGGAGTTGAATGTGTCCCAGGCAAGGGTGACTTACTCAGTGCACACATAAATCTCTTTCCATTGCCTGCAATGTTTATTTTTAAAATTATACCAAAGAGAGATGTGTTTAAGTATCCTCTTCCTTTAAAATCGCAAATATTTACAGAAAGACCACAGGGCTACCAGCCACCCGTGCTTTAACAAAACTAATCTTCTTTTCACTGGATAGTTTACTACCTCAGGCATTCACCTATTTAGATGCTTGTTGTACTACAATATAAGAAAGCAGTTGCTGCCCTGGCCGGTTTGGCTCAGCGGTTAGAGCAAAGGCCTGTGGTCCTGAGAGACCTGGGTTCGGTTCCCCCTAAGGGCACATACCTTGGTTGCAGTTTGTCCCTGGCCCTGGTTGGGTCGTGTGGGTGGCAACCAATCGATGTGTCCCTTTCATGTCGTTGATGTTTCTCTCTCTCTCCTCCCCTCCCTCTTTCCCTCCCTCCCTCCCACTCTATCTGAACAAAAAATGGAAAAAATGTCCTCGGGTGAGGATAAAAAAAAAAAAAAAATAAGAAAGCAGTTGCTTAATGACATTTTCCCCCTCAGATTCTTGAGAAATAATTTGTTCAAGCAACCCAAAAATGGTAGCAAGGACAAAGGCAGCCAGAGACTCCAGAAGCCTAAATGCTGGATGTCCTCAGGCTAAGAGCCCAAGGCCCAGAAATCCTGTGCTTTACACAAGAGCAACCAAGAGCAACCATGAGAGACATTCAAGGACTTAACAAAACAACGTTTCTGAAGCCCAGGGCAGCAAGCAAACACTTTCTAAAGGAAGACGGCCTTAATGAGCCTGATGTTAGCCACTCTGAAAAGCCCAACAGGTTAGACTGGGAGGAGACAGAGCAGGTGATGAGCCAGAGGATCTAGATTCTACTGCAAGGCCTACTACTTATTTCATTGTAAGATTTTGGGCAAATCAATGAATCTCTCTAAGCTTTGGTTTTCCTCAACTATGAAATTAGGAAAGTTGCAGAACATAATTCCTTCAAGTCTCTTCCAGTTCTAAGGTTCTGAGCTTCTAAAAATGTAAATCTTAGTATTTATAATTAGCCATGTAAATTTAAAAACTACTTTTCGGCAATCTGTTCTTTTCACATTGACCTTTTCTTCTGTCTGAACTTGTCTGATTATCCGTGAAACTTTTTGTCCCCAATCCCCCTTGGTTCCAATTCCTAGAATCAAAAGGAAAAACATTTCCGTTTTTTTTAAACCATTATGACTGGTAGTCTATTCCATCAGCTGACAAAAAAGTCCTACATGAGTCAATTAAAGATCACATTGCTGAGTTCCGGGTCTCGAACGGCTCTAAGGCTTGGGAGTAATTCACACATATCAGATTCAGAATGACATCAGGTTTAAGTGCAAAATTGCATCAAACAAAAAATGGCAGTCATTGGTCATATTACTTCCTTCCCTAAAAAGTAAATATGTAGATCATTTATTTTATTTTATTTTTTTATTTAAATTTTTTTCTTTATTGATTAGAGAGGGGGTTGGTTAGAGGGAGAGATGGATAGAAACATCAATGAGAGGATACTGATTTGCCACCTCCTGCATGTCCCCCACTGGGGATCAGGATCACAACCTGGGTATGTGCCCTGACCAGGAATCGAACTGGTGACCTCTTGGTGCATGGGTTGACACTCAACCACTGAGCCACACCAGCTGGGCTGTAGAGCATTTAGAAAAGCATCTGGAACATAAGTTTTAGTGAGTGTCAACTTATTAGTCTTCTATACTTCTATATTATTACTCTATATTCAGTACAAATCTTAGATAGATGAAAGGCACTGTGTGAAAAGCAAGATTACGGTGTCTTTTACGTTGTGTACACAAACATTTTAGAAGAAAGTGGGGTTTAATTCAACAACAGAACACACAAAAAGACCGTTTCAACCAAAATCAGAGACTTCTGTAACACTGACTTGTTGCATTCTGAAATAATTTCAGATTATATGACTTTCACCATCAATGTTATACAATTTACTTCAGCAGTGGAGAGGAAACAAAAAGGAGATAATTTTCTTCATTTCTGCATTTCTGGAGGTTGTGGGAATAGCAGAATTGCTCACCTGTACATTCAAATGCAAAAATGCTTTTCTCTTCAATTTGTGCCATATGCTCACATTGGACTGCACAGCAATGCCATACATATAGCAACCCCAGTCTAACACCTTGGATTTCAGTGAGACAGAATTGGTAACCATACAAATGTCACTGTTATGAGCTGGCCTCCCCTGCTACCTCATTTTTTGGCTACCAGGAAGGCCATATAGAAAAGTAAGTGAACAGATACCTCCTTCCAAATGGTATTCTTAAGCAAATGTTGCTCTTTCTCAATTCACTCACTACCCTCTCACCAAAGACAAGGAATAGGTAGTATTCATATGCACCTAAAACTTAGCATACAGAGCTGATATCACTGACCTTTGGAATAAATTTCTTAAACTGTAAACCAGAACACTTTGGTTTGGTCGGAGCACCTATTCAAAGTTAAAAGTACAGTGCAACTAAATCTTCAGAAAAAATGTTAACTATAAACGAATGTGGCCCAATTAAAGTTAGCCAGCATAGGCTAACTAAGTTGATGCAATAAAGCAGTGAGTTGTATATTATTTCACTTTTAAAAAGTTGCTACATACGCAATTTGCTTGGTAGGTATATAAAAACTGTGGAGGCCATTACAGATTTATAATCTTCTTTCAAAAACGTGTACTGGAAAGGTTATTTTAATGACGGTTTTTACTGCAGTGTGGCATGACAAGACAACATGTGATCCATCACGCTATTTAGGAGGCATATGAACACATGGCCCTCAGCCTTTACTACTCTTCACAGCTGCTAGCAAAGGAAAGTTGCGTGTGCACGCATCTGCAGTGCTGATGGCATTAATTACACGCAAATTTACTGCACGCCTCCCCCACCCCCGGGAACAAAT